GGTAAGAGAAACTCTATGGAGAGAGCAGACAAAATCGGTTTTTAAAATACTACTAAAGAACTGAGAATATATCACACTGCAGAACTCCTTCCTGCCTGTGCTGCAGTTTGACATGTTTAAATTGAATAGTTCATATTGTGTTTGAAATCAACTCAGTGAACTTTGTTTGCTAGCCTTTTCAGTTCTATGAATCAACTGCTGTGAGGTTAATCCAGTTAAGACTCACCAAAATGATAGAAGTCATTTAGTCTGTCACATCTGTGCAGCGTATAATGTGAAATTATGAAGAGCTTAATCACTTAGTTAATAGCACAGTAGATGTTGCTACAGTACAATTAAATAATACCAGGTTTGAACAATGTGACTTTTTTTCCTTATTTCAGTGCTGTGTCAAAGCAAAATTCCTATGATTTCCACTCTGTCTGTCAGCATTAGCCAAGGTCACTAGCTCTGCTTCAGTGAGAAGGAGTTTCCATATTATGAAATTTTAAGAAAACAGGAAAAATAAATACCCCAGCTTTTTTTTTTTTTTTTTTTTTTTTTCCAGAGCACTACATGTGCTACAGAACAGATAATTTTACAAAACAGATTATTAGTTCTACAAAAATGTATGCTGGATTCCTTTTCTCATTGCCTTTATGGTTCATTCCTAAGGATAATTCACATAATTAAGTCAGTGAGAGGTGAAGGTGATATGCTGTTTCTTCAGTGTCATGCACACTGATGGAGAACTCCCTGTCAATTGAAACTGTACATCCCAAACCATGTTCTCATCCATTAACATAAATAACATGAGGGAGTCTCTCCTGGTATATAACTTTTTTATTTTTCTGTTTTATATTCTCTTTCAGTGAGAAACAGAAGCAGGCATGTCTATATGTGAATTTTGGTTATCTGTTTCTAAATTGTGAGTCGTTCTGCCTGTGAAGGTAAAGAAAGTAAAGGGGCATTCTATCATACCATATTCTTATCAGGGATGTAATCAGATTCTGAAGAGCAACTAACTCACAATAATAATGATGTAAAGCAAATAAGTACAGTAATGGCATGCTGCATATCCTGAACAGATTTAGATACTCAGCGTTTCTGAGTCTTCAAATTCAAAATCTGTATTTTGTTGACCTCACAAAAAACGCTTCAGGGTTTAACTATCACTTCCTGAAAATTTGTAAATGGTCTCCATGATGGGTTGCTTGTGGGATTTCTGAATGGCCAGCACATTTTACAAGTTTACAATAGCTTTAGGACAATCCGTGACACACGCCATGTGTGCTAGTATAACTGATCCTGGAGATTGTGCCACTGTTTTGAACAGAGTGTGTGTAGCGTTTTTAGTCATTTCCAAATCTGTGTCATGAACTGCAGAAAGGTACTTGAAGAAAAATGTTGTAGCCCTATAATCATTCCCATACAAAGTATTTATCCTTTTCCTTAGATAACATTTCAAAAAGAATAGCAGTGTGCAAAGAAACACTCCACATGTAGATCAGATTGCAATAAATTACTGGTCAGCAGATATCCAGATGTCACTGAAGTTCTTTTGCAGATAGACAGAAACCTCAACATAATGGTCTCCCAAGACACATTTTACCTAATTTCTGTGGTGGACTCACTGAACATATAAACACCGGCAAGACTTGTTCTGCTGCCTTATTACACACAGCCATCGTCTCCTAGGTCCTGTAAAGCCTCAGGCTTGGCAGATAGAATGAATCCAGTGCTACATACAGAGGAGCCAGTTTGCAGGTGCTAGGTAACCCCTTGCAGCACTTTCTGCTGCCCTTTTTCTGGGTCACACAATGAAAAATAGCTCATCCTATAGAGAAGAAACATGCATTCCCTCTAGCTTTTTAAGCTGGACTCTCTGAAAGTTGGGTGCCAATGGATTTCGCTTGGTGTGCTTATTATTATATTCAGTGATTTTCTTCTGCTCTGTTTTTCTTCTTTCGTTCTTCTCATCCTCACTCCTCACTTGCTTCATTTGTATTTACACCCTTTCTTTGAAGAATTTTCTGTCTGTTACCAAGCTGATAAAAAGCCTTATGTGCTACCTGGGAGAATAGTAGCAAAGAGGGCATGTGTTGTTTCATTTGGGTTCAGACAGGGGAGTTGTCCTGTGGCCTTCATTGTGCATTGCATCTCAGGGATCCAGATGACACCTTTCACTTGCTCTTGGTGGCTGGGAGAGCAAACATAGGCACCATGCTATACAGCATGTGCTGTACAATGCACAGTTATATCTTCCTTAAAAATTTAAATTAAAGATATGGGATTGCACCATTTATTCCACCACCATTCTTCACATCTGCCCAATATTGCAGAAATCTGGAGCTTAAGGAGACTGTGTTATTGAGCTGCAAGTAAAGGATTGCTCTTATGCTAAAAATCATAACCTAACTTAGCCATGTGAACAAGAAGAAAAAGAAAAGAGAAGAGATAGAAAAGAAATAAAACAAATTTATCATGGACGAGAAGAAAGGTGAAGTGGTTGAAACAAGAAAAATGAAGAGAGCAAGTAGGAAAAGTGATGTTTTGCTCTTCAAAAAGTAGAAGCAGATTATTCCATAATTAAAAAAAAAAAATAAAATTAAAAATAAAAATTAAAAATAAGGAATCCTAATATACAGAAGCAGCTTTGAAGACTATAACGTGTTTTAAGGCTGTTAAAATTATAGGTTTTAATTTCATAAATAATGGAATTATCAGTAGCATTCATCTAGAGAAACTAAGATTTTTATAACATTTTTTGTCTCTACTTAGGGCTATTGTAATCAATGTGATGTTAAAAGCAGTGGTTACCATGTGAAATGTATTTATGTTAAACTACACTTCTTTTTGTGTGTTATAATTCCCAGAAGAAATTTCCAAGTTAAACTTGGTTATTGAGATGAGGATCAAAAAGTTCTATATATGTCTGTTTCCTGTACAACAGCAAGATTATTCTGCTAAATTTCTAATCTTCTCTTGGTACTGTTACAAAATAAAATTTCTTATATTCCCATGATATATTCAAGCAGTATATGCTAGATGCTAACTGCAGTTAAAAGGTAGCTGCATTTTCCTGTAGTTTGGCATACTGCACAAGTTAATATGGATATAAGTGCTCTGTCCTGTAAAGAAATTGCATGAATAAGGAATTGAGAGCAATAATGTAATTTCAAAAGATTGTTGAAACTCTGTTCTCAGCTATTGTCATTAGATAAATAATATCCTCAACAAAAAAATCAAATACAACAGGTGTAAGTGTATATAGATGGAAAATCTTAAGGAAACCCTTCTATAATTTTGAGAGCATGTGGGAAGTTTTTGTAGTGAAATCTAAAGAAGTGGGGAAAAAAAAAAAAAACTCAAGAATTAAAGCAAGGGTGAAATCTTTTTACCTGCTAGCAATCCTGTTGAATATACAATGATCAGAATTCCATCTGGTCAAATATGACAGTCATCATATAGAATGAAAGGCAGATGGTTAGAACATGTCCTAGTCATACCTGCTAAAAGTAAAGTGACATTACATAATTTGCCATAAACATGCAATTCAGTCTTGCTGCAATTTAAGCAGCAAGCAGCAACCTTAAGTTGTGTGAATTGTCAGAAGACATGGAAATTACCTGTATGGTTAGATTCAGCTATTTACTCTAGTGTTTTCAGGATCAAAGCCTTAGCAACTAATTTCAATTCATGTGACCATTTTACAAATGGAATTTTATCTTGCTTGGGCTTATCTAAAAGTGCAGAGTAAATATTTTTCAACCCATCTAATCCAGTTCCTAGATTAGAAATAGATATCATTGTGTCTTATCATTCTTTAATCAAGGTTATTTGCATAATATTGCAAATATCTTCAAGGCTGTTAAGATTCTAGATTGTTCCATGGAATTCAAACTGTCCATATTCACCGGCAGAGATTACACCTTGATCAGAAATCTTAATTGTTGACTAGAGCAGCTCATTTTCTTGGAAGGTTACCTGGTTCATTTTCCATCTCTATTAACAGGAGCATAATCTGCTTGGTTTTTCATCTGCTCTGATGTTCATTTAGCTTGATTTTGATGTTGAACAGTTCTGACTTGTTCTTTCATTTGATCCAGTTAGAAACATCTCTTGATCTCCGTTCATTCAGGACTGAAGCATTACAAAGCTTCTCTGTGAAACAACAGTACTAGTGCTTTTCAGACACTGATCAAGACATTTGCTGTAACAGTAATTTTAATCTGAAAATCATATTGGAATGGAAAATAAAGGTATTGCCTGTCAAACTGAAGAATTTTGTATTTTGGCCCATGATTTTTTTTTTTCTTTCTGTAGAACTCTTATTTGTGATTTGTCTCAGATGTGGGAACTATCTGTTAATTCATATAATCCAAAGATAAGAGGATGTATAAAGGTTCCTTGTACCATGGCTCAATCGCTGATTAAATTTATAGTCTGGTATTTGTAGGCCGGTTGTGTTATGAAATTAGTGTGAAATGAGCAGAGTAAGTTTTTGTTATTCTGTTTCCTGGAAGTTATTAAATTAATTTAGTGATTACAGTCACACTCTTTCCAAATTATGTAGAGCAGCAATTACTGAAAGTGTTGCTGCTGGGTAGGCTTATTTTCACCAATAGAAATTATCTGAAGTATTTATATCACCATCTCTCTTTAGTGTCTGGTAGTGTTTATGTAGTCTATTGATTTTTTTAATGCCAGTTATGGGTCTTCTAAAACTAGTGAAGGTGGGTAAAAGTCAGTACTGGACTGGACTGCTAATCAGAGCACCTAATCAGATTTTTCCACAGACATACCTAAAGACATCCTGTTTCAGAATTATGTGTTATTACTTTGCTTATCATTAGAAAAGGAAATACATGATTTTATCTGATTTGCATTGGAAGTTGTACCATAGTTGTGAAAATATGTTTATTTCTTGCTCTTTTTGTTCTGATATTTTTTCTCCTTGTCTCACATGTCTCTATTGTAAACTAAATCAAGTTTGTGTAACATTTTTATGTCCCTTTTAGGTATTGGGATTGGCGTGCTGGTACGAGAATATGGCAATCTGTCTAATTTGGATAAAGTCTACTTTGCATTTCCTGGGGAACTGCTGATGAGAATGCTCAAACTCATCATTCTGCCATTAATCATATCAAGTATGATCACAGGTATGACTGAAAATGTACTGTTAGTTTGGGGGAGCTATCATTGTGGGTTAGCTTTCTTTCTGAAGGAAATAACCCCTAAAAATAACTTGATAGAACTCTATACTGAGACATAGAGATTTCATACCTTTCAATTAAATTCTTTATTAATGAGAATGAGAAAAGATTTTGAAAGATTAGCATTATTATCTATGACATTATATAGAGCTGCAAGCTATTAACTTTGCAAATCTATGGATTCTTGTATCTCTCTCTCCCTATTTTCAGAAGTGGGATAAGCAGTTGCACATTGCAAGCCCAAAGCTGCAACTCCATATTCTGATATAGAGTTAACATTACAAACAGTCTCATGATGCCGTTTCACAAGCAAGGGAGAGCTGATCTCATAGCCTACTGTCACAAAAAGAGGACATTCATTAGCTATACTTCCTTGGTCTCAGCAAACTTCCCTGAGGTACCTTGCATGAGCTCTAGCATTCACAGAATCCTTCTACAAGTCCTCTTCCCCAAAACTGAAAATTCCTTTGAACCAAGTGAGTGCTTGGGAAACTGTGTGGCCAGGAAATGAAGTGAGAAGAGAGAAGTCAAAGCTTCCATCTTCTGGGAAAAGCAAGCAAGCTGTTGGCTGGAACCCTGCCCTGAATGCTAGAATTTGCTAACAGTTCATCCACAGAGAAAACTTTGGAAAGATTTGGTGGAGAAAGCACAAAGCAAGGAGACAGAACTGAAAGTCAAACAGCCTTTCTTTAGAAATAACTTTTTTTCAAAAAAGGGAAAGCCAAGTAAACTTCTCTTTATTCTTTAAGTCTTTGCTGAGGGTGCAAGGATTGTGACTATTTTCTTTCAGCTTCTTGCAGTGAATCAAGACACATTGGTCCCTTTTCATCTCCGCAAAACCTCTGTTTTGATAACATATTCATGTCCAGATATTCATATCTTGTAATATAGGGTGAGAGGAACCCAGTGTTAGAATTTAAATGGATAATGTCAAGAACTGCAAGAGCCAGAATGGAAAGCTGCTAAAGGCAGAGCGAGAAATGATGCCACAAAATAGCCAAGGGTTATGTCCAAAGGAATGAACGGAGGTTAAAACAATTGTTAGTGTGTAAATGTGAGGAGAACCTTAGTCTGTGTCCAGCCATCCAGGAAAATCTGTCAAGATAAGACAAAGACATTTCTTTTTTTCGAGGCTTTTATTTGTGAGTGAAGTTGGGCTCCTGTCTTCAGAATTAGAATAATAATGAAATTAATTCTTTTTTTGATCTATCTGTCCAGCACTTACAGGGGAAACAAGAATCATCCTGTTAAAAAATACTGTGCTTACTTGATAGATAATGTTCTAGTGTGGGTGAACTGCACTTGTAACTACTAACACAAGCTTGTATTTTACAGATTGCAGATTACAGTCAAATACAGAAATGACTGTATGATTGGATGTGCCAAGTTCAGAATCAGAGCATCTCATGGTGAGAATGAGATGCTCTGATTCTGACCTCGGCACATCCAATTTCCTTAGCAAGTAAGGGCATATTTTTCGTACACTTCTATATTAGAATTTTAGGCAAGAGAAAGGAAACAAAATAGATAAAACAGAAGCTACTTTAATAGAGTATGAATGCAAATGAACCACAAATGTCTGTTCATGATGATTTTCACTATTCACCCATATCCGTCCTCAGGATGTTGATGAGATACTGACTCTTTTAAAATAGGTATGTTAACTTTCCAGTGCACAGAAATGCACATTTGAATTGAACAAGTAAAGCTGTGAATGATTATGAAGCATACTAGTAATTTTTCTTCTTTTACACAGTCATATAGAATTATTGAGGTTGGAAGGGAACCCCTGAAACTGTCTAATCCAATGCCTATTCAGGGTGTAATGGTTTGAGGCTAAACACCAGACAGCCACAAGTGTTGTTCACTCACCCTCTTCTATTGTAATTGGGCACAGGAGAAGGGGGAACAAATTTAACGAAGGGCTCATGTGTTGAGATAAGGACTGAGAGAACAATACTCTAAGGGCAAACCAGGTTCAAATTTAAAGGTATGAGATAAATTTATTATTAACAAAGTCAGAGGAGGATAATGAAAAGTAAAATAAACCTTTAAAACACCTTTTCCCCTACCAGCCCCTTCCTCCTTCCCACTGACAGTGCAGGAAGACGGAGAGGGGTTTTGGTCAGTTCATCACCTGAGATCTTGTGTTCACTCAGGAAGAGGAGCCTTTTCTCTACCTTGCCATGGTGTCCCTCCCACAGGCAAACAGTCTTCCTAAAACTGCTGTGGCATGGGACACTCGTCCACAGGGTGCGAGTCCTCTAAGGACAGGCTCCTCTAGTTTGGAAGTAGTCTCTGGAAGCAGGGGCCCTCCCTCTCTGTTTGGGTCTCCCATGGATCACAGCCCCCTCCAACATCCACCCACTCCAGCATGACCACTTTCTCCATGGGCTGCGAGTGGATCTCTGTATCCCCCATGGACTTCATGCATTACAGGGGAACAGATTGTTTCACCAAGATCCTCATCTCGAGTCTGACACTTGGAGCACCTCCTCCCCCTCAAGGCATCACTGACCTTGTTGGCACCATGTTGTTTTCTCTCACATGTCCTCACTTCCTCCTCTTCTCTGATTAGAAGAAAAACTGCTCCTTGTGAGTGCCATTGTCGACAAGTTCTACCAGTTCAAAGATTCCTGCAGGATCCCACAGTGCCGAAAGGTTGATCTCTTCCAGGTTCCATGTTGGGGAGTCACTCGTGGTGTTTCTGCTGCCGGCCAGGTGACCGCGCCGCCATCACACGGGCGGTGATGGCTGCCGTGGCGCTGGCGCTGCTCAACGCCTCTCTCCATGCGGAGTCTGGGACGGGAAAGCCGCCACCACCTCTGTCCTTCTGCCCACGGCGTGGCTGGCTGGGGCGGCCAGGCGGGCAGGGCCCACCCTGGGCCGCGTCCAGATAGCGGCGGCCACGGCTCATCGCCACCACTGGAGAAAACTGTGCACAGGCTGTTTTGCTTTTCTTCTTAAATATGTCATCACCAACTTCTCTGATTGTGCTGGCAGCATGTCCATCTTCAGAGCCATCAGAGATTGCCTCTTTTGGGCATGGTGGAAACTTCTAGCAACTTCTCACAGAAACCACTCCTGTGGCCCTCCCCTGTTACCTAAAAATCCAGACTATGTCAAATCAACACACAGGGTTAGCTAAAGCATGTCCTCATGTTCAGATTAAATCTCATGGTTTTTTTTATTTTTTGACTATTGTCTCATTTTGTTTCTGGGCACCACTGCTAAGAGCCTAGCTCTGTACTCATTCCCACCCATCAGCTGTTTATGCACATGGCTAAGGTCACTCTGAGCATTCTCCTCTCCAGACTGAACAGTCCCTGCTGTCCTAGCTGTCCTCATGTGAGAGACACTCCAAAACCTTCATCATAATTGTGGCCCTTTGCTGGACAAAGTCCAGTAAGTCCATCCCTTTCTTCTACTGGGGAGCCCAGAACGAGACCTTGTACTCCAGGTGTGGCCTCACAGGTGTTGTGTTTAGAGAGATCACCTCCCTCCGCATGCTGACAGTGCTTGTAATAGTGTTGCCCAGGAATCTATTTGCCACCTTTGCTGAGATATCTTACTGTCTCATGGTCAGTTTGTTGTCTGCCAGGACTCTCACACCCTTCTCTGCAGAGCTGTTCCAGCCAGTCAGCCTCCAGCATGCTGAGGTTCACTGGTTCACTGCAATATTCCTGCCCAAGTGTAGAGCTCTGCATTTTTTCTTGTTGAACTCCATATGATTTCTCTCAGAAAAATTCTCAAGCTCATGCAGGTACCTTTGCGTGACCATATAATCATCTCATACATCAGCCACTCCTCCCAGTTTTGTCTTGGTGATTCATGCACAAAACTTTTACCTGTAACCAAAATCTAGTATTTTGACTTGACAAAAACTTACAAAAGGCATCAAAACTTCCTAGATGCCTTTGGACTCAGCATCACAGTCTGGTTAGAGTTATGTACCAAATGGGTCTTGTAATTGTCGCTGGTGCACACACTTAACCTTCAGCAAAGGCACAATAACATGACAATGTTTTGCTCTCGTGGTGAGCTAATTTCATCCCCTTAATTTGTCAACTAAGAATACATTCATTCTGGACCAGGTGAAGTCTTGTTGCTACTTTAACTGCAGTAGCTTTGAATATATTGTGGCCCCGAGTGTCTACCACTGAGGATGTGAACACATACACAGGTCCAACAGCTGTGATCATCAGATACAGGCCCTATAGAGGTCTGCGTAATACAAGCATTCCAAGGAGGTGGACATCCTCAGAACACATCTGATCACACCAAAGACAGCCAGCCAGCATGCAGATTGTGGTGCTTTCCTTGCATATCCTAAATTTAATCAAGAATTATGAGGTTTCTTTGGAGAAAAATGCTTTTGGGTCTCATTCTATAAAAGGTACTGCCAAAAGCAGAAATACGTGGCCTTGCCACTAACAGTAGGGTAAACAGTGAGCTGTCTTGTTTACAAACATAGCTGAAGACAAATCGTGGCTCTTCCATAAATTTTTCATTCCCCTCTTTGTTTGCTTCTTTACAGTAATTTTTGAAGGTGTAAATTCTGCTTTTGATCTGAAAATTCAGAATTTTGAAGAGGTCATGTGGTCTAAATTGACTTTAGTAAGATTTTTGACACTATCACATAACATCCCCACAGAACAACTGATAAAATACAGGTTAGAGAATTGCACAGGGAGCCAAATTGAAACCTGTCTGAATGGGCAGACCCAGAAGGCTGCAATCACCAGACAAGTCTGATTGGAGACAAGTCAGTAGTAATGTACCCCAGGATTCAATACTGGGGCCAATCCTGTTTAACATTTTATCAATAACTGATGATGGAGCTGAGTGCTTCTTCAGCAGGTTCACAGGCTTGTTCGGTATGCAGAAGAGAAGGTTACAGGGAGACCTTGTTCCAGCTTTCCAACACTTCATGTAACCTACAAGAG